ACATATATTCACCTATCTTATATATGTATATAATCAGTGTTTTTATCGATTTGTATAAACTTTTTTATTGAAGTTTTTGTTTTTAGTACTGTAATATTGTAATAACGAATAAAAATTGTGCAATTTGATTGGGTAATAATCACATGTAGATTTACAAATCGATCTAAAAACTAGCCAATCAGACAAATTTCTGTCTATGAACCAAATAGTGAGTTACATTTTGGTTAGATAGAAGTAACCAACAGTTAGGACCAGAGGGTTTAAATAGGTACCCCTAGTTGAGGTGCAGATACGGCAGATAGTGTAGAACCTTCAGGCAGACTACTTAAATTAGACACTCAAAAGGTGTATGTGTGGCTTGATGTACTCTCGTTGTAATTGTATAACATTATATCTATTTAATAAAAAGTTCCTGGCCAGAGAGGTCATCTTAATACCAAAAAAAAAAAAAATAACAATAAAAGCAAGACTGCTGAATTAAAAAAAAAAATAAAAAATAAAAAATAAAAATTTTTATCATTATCAAATTTGATCAATTGGTTGCTAAGATATCTTTATTAATGTTTAAGTAAAATAAACTATATCTTATATAAAAGCTGTGCTAAAATTGTTTACAAACCTTGATTAAAGATATCTTTGATCAAATTCAATAAAAATTTTTTATTTAAATTTTGTAGTGCTGTAGAATTTGAATAAAAAAATTTTCATTAAATTTGATTAATTGGTTGCTAAGATATCTTTGATTAAAGTTTAAAAATTTTAAAATAATTGTCATAGCTCATGCTAAAAACAGCTGATAATGAAATCTTGGGTCTCTATTTAGAACTATAAGACCTACTAAAACCTATCTATACACTTTAATTAATAAACCCTGACCCTAAACTCTACTCAAACTATTATATGAAGACTAAAAAAATACAACCCCAAAAATTATAAAAATTTAATAATAAAATAATTAAAATTTCAGCATCAGCCATTTTCAGCATCAGCTACAACAATAATTATGTAATAAAATCAAAATAATTAATACAAATAGCAAAAATTCATAATGTGAATAGCAATTCTTTTAATTAATTAATTGATTAATCAATTAACTAACTAGTTAACTAATTGGTATATTAATATAGCTTGAATATAATTATATAGCTATTAAATTACAAGATTAAAAAATAATATATATACTATATAAAACAACTACAGTATATTAATATAAGGGCATTATTTTATAGCGACCCATGATTGACCAATAAAAATCGATTACATAAATCATGTGCTTGACGAGTATGTGATTCATGTAATCGATTTTTATTGATTAATTATATCATTTAATGAAAATAAGAGCCAAGTTTAGATCTGATTAAAATAATATAGTAATACTAATTATACAATTTAATTGATAAAATTTTAGTATCCATAACCGTTATTGAAAGTTCATTAATATATAAAAAAAAAGAAGCTATATATAAAAATTATTTTTTCACTAATGAATTAAAAAGTAAAACAGATAAATTTTATTTTTTTATATTAGTTCAAAGGATTCTGGATAAACAAAGCTTGCATATATTTTATATAATTTAATATGCATTTTTTTAAAATTAGATATTTTAATATTTATGTGTGTATTAAATTTACAAAATTTAGTTTACAACTATTTTTTTTCAAAAAAAATTTATAAGTCTGTTTGTTTACTGTCTATTTATACACAGAATTAATATCATAAAATTATTAGAATTTATAACTTATTATCGTTATCAACGGATACTAAAACATCTGACAATCCTTGATTTGCAGAAGATTTTCTATATTTCAACCAACGTTTAATAAGTAAGAAAGCAATGACTGAAACAATTATGAGAGATACAGAACATCCAATTGCGACACCTATAATTATAGCAACATTGGATGATATTATTGGACTTGTTGGCGATGGTAGAATTGAATATGTGGGTGTAGAATCCGTAAATTGGTCGTTAGTAGAAGTAGGATTTAATGTGTTTTTTGCATTGAATGAGGTGATCCATGTATAATTAGAATTGTTACTAATATCAAGAAGGTATACGTTGGACGATGGACCAGGCGCCACAGTAGGGGTTTGCTGCGTGACATTACCTAACATAATATATATATAAGTATATAAGTATTTAAATATAGTATTTAAATATAAGATATATATGCATAATAACGATAATTAAAGGCTACTTACCAAATGCTATAATCATTATATTGCCTATTAAAGCAGCAGAATGGTGTGCAAGTACTGGTGGTGCAGTATTGAAAGCTTTTGGAGTTGACCATTGAAATGGAGGCGTACTTGCAGTATCTAAAATAGCAAGATCAGGATTTGCAGGAGAAGGTGATTCTTCATTTTCTTTACCACCATAAACAATGATTCTACCGTCCATTGCTATATTGAGCAAAAAACAAATTCAAATAAACAGGATATTATATAATGTGGAATTATAATGTGAATATTATAATGTGAATGACAATTTTGATCCTACCTAGTACCGCGGAATGACCTGAACGGACGCCTGGTATAGTTCCACTTGCAGTCTATCGGAAGGGATCGTAAATAATTATTAATACAATAGTACAGTATTAAATCAACATAAAATCATAGTTGTATAATAATTCGTTATTTACAATCTGGTTCCAAAAACTTTTTTTCGTATCGAAGGTCCATAACTAATTGAAACAAGAATGTATGCGAATTATTATATATTCAGGAATTAATAATTATAAATAGAGTATGAAAGAATTGATAGAATTATACCTTATCCATCTGTCTGTAACTTATTCCCGATCCAGAAGAAGTAGTGGCTTGTCTACCCCCAATATATACTTTAAAAATGACATCTTTTAATATGATAAAATACTAAAATTCTTTTTATATTTACTTTTTGAAAAGACTTTTTACCTATCGTTCCATTATTCAGTATCGTAGCAGTAAAATCAGCTTGAGGTAGAGGAAGGTCAACGCCAGAAGCTGCAACTATTAACCAAGATAAACTCTTTATATCTAAAATACTAATATCTCTGAACCATCTTGTATTTTGAGAACCTGTCAAAGGTCCTGATAATCCACCAAACATATAAACTCTAGAACTATCTTGTGCAATTTGAAATTCCGTTCGTATAAGTGGAGCAGCTCCCGAGATCGTTGGGTTACTCCATTGTTTAATTTTTGTATCAAACGCGTATACTAAAGTATTGACTTGATCACTACTATTAGTCATTAAACCTCCAAACATATATATGGAATTATTTAAACTGCCAACTGCGCTAACTTGCCAGCAAGTTGCCACTGGAAGGGCTGCAATTGATGTAAGATCAGTCCATGGAATGCTATCCGACGTACTAAATGATGATGAAATATCTAAATAAAATACACTATTTTGGCATCCTTCACTTCCATCAGAATTTTTACCCAAACCACCAAAGAAATAAAGTTTAGAATCAACTAATATAGAACTGGCAGAATATCTAGGTGAAGGTGTGAATGATTCAACGTGCTCAGTTGAATGAAAGAATATAATGTACAAGAGTAGTACATAAGAAATGTGTGTAAAAATCATTGTAAATTATAATCAAAAAAAAGAAAGCGAGAGCACTCTTGTAGTCATATATAAATATTTAAAACGAAATTGTATGATAATTTCGCTAAATCATATATGATAAAAATCATTTTACAAAAAAAAAACGCTAATTCGAAAAATTAATTTCGGCTAATCCCTTATTAAATTAAGAAAGTAAGACCAACGGAAGTTTGCTCCACACTTTCTACCATTATTTAGCTTAATGTAACTAAATACTATACTTGTAGAACAGTGATAAACCACGTTTTTTTAGTGTTTGGGAGTTTCAACATATTTTTTTTATAACATTAGTATTAAATGATTGGTCACCGTTTACCACTATGTTATTTTTTTACTATTGAATTATACAAGATTCATTGTTAAAGCATTCAAAAGAATTATCGAACCGTAAAATGCATCATTTTGTACACTTGGCATTTTTCAACACCGGTGTTGTATACAATAAATTACTAAAAAAAGGAAGTTTTATTATTTGATTCGTCATTTTCTTTCAGAAGTTTATTTTATGAACCCTACATGTATACTTTAAAAAAAAATTTATTTGTAATAAAAAATTACGTATTTTGAATTACAATAAATTTAGTTAAATATATGCACGCAAATATTAATAAATCTTCAAATACTAGGTATTTTGGTATGCAGTAATAAAATAGAATTAATAATGATAAGATCACAACTTGCCTTGTATTAAACAAGGAAAGTAAAATAAATGTGCAATTTGAATGTCACACGAATTAGCTAAGTAACAAAAATATTAATAAGAATTTTAATAATTTTGGTAATTTTACAAAACATTCTATTCGAATTACGTTTAATTTTAGCAAATCTTTAATCAATTATAACGATAAAAATAGAAATTTTATTATCTTTTCATTTAAAAGATTAGCGTTTACTAGACTAACTTCATTTAAACAAAAATATATACGTACCATACGTACGTATATAACAGATAACGGATAAATTTGTTTTTTAAAAAAGTAGAACTAGGTTAATACTTAGCACAGCATTGGCCCAATTGTACTGCATCAATCGCGTAAATATATATGCGTTTGTTACCCTAAAGTATTAATATAGGCATTCGCGTCAAAACAACCGAAATTGCCAATCATGTGTACTTCCTTTTATGTCCAACTAATCAGATCTTTTTTGAATCGTACGTACGAGATTTTTAAGCACCAATCTCTTGTCTAATTTATAAGCTTAATAGTGGTAAATAAAAGTTTATTATATAACAAGCAATACCTTAAGGATGATGAATGATGAATAATGGTAATGAAAGTGAAACCCAAATAAAACCGGAGTTAATTTTAGTTTTACAATCTTAGTGCACTTATTGCACTTATCTACTAAGAACCATCATCAGAAATCCTGTAAAGGTTAAAATGCACAGGTTGAATTCGGGTACATATCGAGAGACAAGTTTCCTGATATGTACCCGATAGTCTGCAGCATATTGAGGATATCGGGAGGTAGATCGATATCGGGTAACGTAACAACACAATATTGGGATACCCTGATATCTTACTCTTAGCACTCTGGGCCTAAAAGTAAGTATCCGCTGTTATGTTACTGATATCGATCTACCTCCCGATATATTACCAACATCATAGACAGAAATTTGTCTGATTGGCTAGTTTTTAGATCGATTTGTAAATCTACACGTGATTATTACCCAATCAAA